GTGTTCTTGTCAAAACCTGAATTCCATAATTGTTTCAAAATTTATTCAGAGTATCTGTGAAATTCATGTATTTTACTTCTAATCAGCATTAAATTTGCTGTTTCCCAGGTAGTGTTAGATTTAAACAGATGTACCCAGATAATACTGAGAAGGTTCTTTCACTTATAACTTTCACTTACAACGTGGCGTAAATGTTTGTCGTACATAATCAGCAACATACCTCTCAGTGTAAAGCAATAACTGAACACACTCAAAAGAGACAGTTTATTCTTATACGCATTTGAAATGTATACAAATGTTCAATATGACAAAATAGCCGTAATCTAAAAAAAAAACATGGAAAAAAGAAAATAAATTGAGATAATGAGGCATCGTCACCGCAAGGAAGTTGCCTTAAGCGTGAAGTTCTCGTCTTCTAGGACTGTAAAAACTTGTGGGACTTTAAGCAGTGGAACCAGTGTTTCTGTAAAATATCTATTCGGAGAAGCAAAAATTGCCTACAATTGTGTATAGCTTCAGGAAGGCTACAAATTTTTAGATGACCGTTCCCTTAATGTACAATTTTTGTAACATACTCTTATGAATTCCCTGCGATTTTCTTAAGTTTAATTTTTCGTATCTGAGTCCCTCAAGTAAGACTATTTTTCGATCTAAAAGTACTCTGGATAGCCCAAAAAGTGCATTTAGGAGGAAAGCGTCCTTGGTTGTCCCTGTTGATAAGGTGCAAACAGATTTTGACGGTGGAGAGGCAAACATGCAAGCCTGACATATATCGTAGTTCCCGTCAACCCCCCGCAAGAATCTCTGAGGAAAGTTTGGAAAAGTACCAGGATTTGAAAACGGATCTTAAAAGGATTTGGAAGTGTAAGGAAGCCCTCGGCGCACTTTGAATGTAGTCAACCAACCTGAGGAAATGGTTACAAGTGATGGACCTGGCCAAGGAACTAGAGTTCGTCTACAGAAGTTATTCCTCTTTGGAACAGCTAGCCTGCGGACACAGACGTATTTCCGGTCGTCGCTTCTCTCAACCCATTTCGGTGAAGAGAAGCGACGACCGGAAATACGTCTGTGCCCGCAGGCTAGAGAACAGCAAGGATCCTTAGAAGAGTACAGGACATCGGATAAGTCACAACAACAAAAAAGTCGTAATATAACTTGTTATATAATAAAAAGTCGTAATATAACTCTAATCATCTTCTTCGCTTCGAGCACCATTCCTCTTCAATAAGCTTCAATGGATCACATGAAGCGATTAAAATCATCTCATTTTGGATACCTCGTATTTAGCTGAAAGCATTAATTTATTAGTTTTTCAGTTTCCCTAATACCCCACTTCGATCTATTTAACTTCCCGTTACAGCTTTTTTAAGACTCTACCTGAAAGAATCTGGGGTTGGGTTCGTCGGTTAAAGGGTCGAGTTTTGCCACTCGAAAATAAAATTCATATCTTCGCACCACCGTGTAATATCCTCTATATATTTGTGCTCCTTCTAAACAAATATAAACAATGAAATGTATCGTCTTATTATATAGACACGAGTGTTTTACTGGAAAATATACCACTCATAAAATTCATAAAAACTACATCCGGGACGCGAGTGGTTTATTTTCCATGATCTCACACGTGAGTTAATCGATGACGTAATTTTGGTAATGTCCCTCTATTATTTTATCGATGTCATTTTGTCTATATAATAAAAAGAACATTACACGGCCTCTTGAAGATATGAATTTTATTTTCTCGTGGCAAAAACAACATTTTACTCACTCGCTGCGCTCGTTCGTAAAATATTGTTCTGCCACTCGAAAATAAAATTCATATCTTCGCGCCACCGTGTAATATCCTCTATGAGTAAAGATAGAAAATGACCGGGGACGCAAAAAAACAGCCGGGTAGAAGCAAACTATTTGCCGGGTATAGGGGAGTCTAAATTTTTTCTGGGTAGACTTAAATAAGCCATTGGGTAGGGTTTCACTGGGTCTGTTAATGAGGGGTGTTGTAATGGTGCATATGGTTGATAGTTACGAGTCCTATCAGCTATTCATATTCAAACTGTGTGCTATGCACTAACCTGTTTGATGGCAGAATAAGGAGAAAGATAGAAAATACAAAAATAGTAACATGGTTGCTCCTGTGTAGTCCTACGAACTAACAGCAGCTCAATTGGGCGGAAGGGTGTTATCAGACTCAAAGGCTTTCGAATGAAACTTGAACACAGCTGGTCAAAGGCGGCGAAGTTTAGCCGGAGGTCAGTGAGTATTTCATGCCAAGACAGCATGTAGCCTCTCTTAAATCCCATTACGCAATACCTCTGTTAAAAGTAAAGAACATATATATGCCTTACGGCCTGGCTGGGTAATTGCGCATTCCAAGAAAGTAATAGGGACCTTAAGATCCGACGTCGGCAACGAGAACGTCAAAAAAGCAATAGGTTTACTAACCAAAACAACAATTATGAACGTGCATCACGCTTTGTTGTACATTTCTTTGCCGTCACTGCACGACTGCGACGTCAAAATGCCTAATTTCAAGTTTTACAGAGGGAGTAAACAAGCGACGACGAAATTTCCTCTCTCTTTCTGCACTTGGCTATGGTTCTTAGGAATTCAACTTTAGGATCACGGTTCGCCTACATTTGAAAAAGTTAGTGACTTGGAGTGATCGCGATGAAGATTGAGAGAACACGAACTCACTTTTTCAGCGACGTTTTCTCTGCCGTCGCCGTCCTCGGATCTTAAGGTCCCTAATATAGCCTGTAAAACCTGGCCAAGGTTTGTTTTAAATTAGTATGAAATTTATTCACAAACACATTCGAAATATATATATATTTTTAATGTTCGACATTTTTTTACTAAAAAAGGTAGCCGTAACCTGAGATAAAAGTGAAATGAACTGAGGCAGGCTTCAGCATCACCGCGTGCATACAATCCATATACATTAGTGCTGAAGGAAATTACATAAACATAGTGATGCCAACCTCTGGACGTCTGAAATAAGGAACTTTCTCTTCTGCAACCCCATCCTAGCTAAGGACCCCAAATAATAAACAATCTTACCCGCCATTACTGACTACCTCGAGCAATAATTATTTCCTTCGTGCATGATCTCATCAATTCCATAACCGTAATGACGTAAATTCACTTTTCCAGTTAAAGAAGGTGAGTAGAAATCGATAAAAAATGCTTCCAGAGACAACAGCATAAACTTTAAAATAATAATGAAAAAGTATTCTGAATTTTGGAATTAAAATTTTGGGATTTTATTTCAGACTATGCAATGGAAAAGCTAAGTAATAAGGGCGGGTACCGTCCTTGAAATGATCGGTACCAGGATTTATGACCCAGTTCACTCGCATGATGACGCATTAAAGGCGCCCCAAAATAGTCCAGTTTCGAGTTCGCTATGACCGCTGAATTAAAGAAATGAAGACGCATTTTTACAGGCTTAGGGCCTGTTTACACGGAGGTGGGGGACCCCAGGCAGGTGAGGTAACCCGCTTAGGTGAGGTAAAAAAAACCCTCGTTTACATGCCATCTTCCAACCCCGCTAACCCGGGGTGCACTTTCTCAAGATTATTGAATGGTGGCTATATAAGCCACGTAAAGAAGAAAAATGCTGGCAAACTACTTGTTTTGACGATTAATGCTCTTCTAAACTCACTTGCTGTTCTTGCTGCAACCTTCAGTGCTGTGGCTTTTATTGTTAGTTTTTATAACGATGCAAAGCCACCGCCAAAGTGAATATGATGTATCACGAATCCGAGCCCCGGCTAGGAGGGTTACCCCGCCCCGAAACGTTTACATGGCAAAATTTGACTCAGGCTGAGAGGGTTACCCGGTCTGGCAGACCGGGCTACCCGCTTTCGCGGGTCACCCCACTTATCATGTAAACGTGAACAAATTAAAATAGAGAATATATGGACTGGCGGGTTACCCCACCTAAGCCGGTTACCTCACCTACCTGGGGCGCCCCCAGCCCCATGCAGACAAAAAAATTGACCTGTTTGTTACTCTGTCTATTGTGTATATTCAAATTTCAAACACTTACTTGCTAGAATTTCTGATTGCGTCGAGGCTAACCCTGTATAAATGTGTCGTTAATGTTTGTATTCAGCGGTAATTTTTAATTCGAAACGGGACTGTTGATCCTATTTAAAAAAGGACTCATCAGTACCTTTTATGCACCACGATCCAAGTAAAGTTGATCATAAACGGCCTGATCCGGATCATCCCAAGGCTCGAGGACCCTCAAGATAAACGCCCTCAAGCGATATTTGTATCCGGCAGAATTAGTGAGACGTTTTCTTAAAGCACTTACTAGTGCTACAAGTCTTTCAGTAAATGTTAAAAAAATAACATATTATCTTTTGGCGGATTTAGTGACATATACAATAATCATTTGAAGCAAGATCGCAGTTATATACGCAACTTATGCAGTTGCGAAATGAAAACCTGAAAAAAATTCAGGCTTGTACGGGATTCGAACCGTTGACCTCTACGATACCGGTGAAGCGCTCTACCAATTAAGTTAACAAGCCAACTGGGAGAAGGTCGTTGAATTGCTTCGTTATAAACCCGTGAAAGGATGATGACTCTAACAGAGAGCGCTGCACCGGTATCGCAGCAGATCAAGGGTTCGAATCCCGTACAAGCTTGAAATTTTTTCAGGCTTTCTTTTCGCAACTGCTTAAGTTGCGTATATAACTGCGATGATCTTCCTTCAAATAATTCTTCCGGCTCCGCACTTCACATATATGATTTTCATATATTCATAATTTCATATACAATAATCATAGTTATTTGAGGTAGGTGGGTAGGTAATACTTTATTTAAAAATTCATATCACAAGAGAAACACGCTTGCCCAAACAACGCTTGGCTGGTTCCATGGAGGGCGTGTTAACACATATAAAAACCTTATATAAATTACTAAACTAATTCTATAATTTCTTATGCTACTGCTAACACTATTCCTATTTCATATAAGTATATAAAAAGTTAACCACTAATAAGATACACAGCTCTTCAATACCCAACTAAAATCTCAGAAGACTTTTAAATGAAGAGATTGACTCAGCGAGCTTTGCCTCATACGGGAAGCTGGTTCCAAAGCATAGCACCGCTAAATTTATTACTTCTTTTTAGAAAATCTCTTTTCGGTTTAGGAAGTGTTAGATCAGTAGCCGTGTTACGTAGATGGTAATTAGTCTGATCAACATTCCTTCTCACAAAAGAGTTCCTTAGGCCGCGGGCGGTGTGATCATTTAAAATATTTTATACATTAAAATGACTTTGCACAGCGCCATCGATCATCATTGAGTCTGCGGAGCGAACATCATAACTGGCACCTCTGAGAACTCTAGCAGCACGTGACTGAAATAGTTGCAGCTTATCTTTCAATAATTTGCCACAAGTTTCCCACAAAGGAGAACAATACTCAAAATATGGCTGATCTAAGCCCTTATAAACTGTTTCCAGAGTAGCTACGGGAACAAACTTTTTGATGCGCCGTATGGCTCCTATACTCGCGCTTAACTTAACCTTAACAGCCTGTACAACTTATACCTAATAGTAGCTAATTGTAAAAATCACGTTCACTTGATAGAATTTATAGAAAATAATAGTAAAAAAATAAAAAATAGTAATGGGTTACAGCACTAAATGGCATTTAAAAATTATTCGATATGTATTTGAAAATCTTTAAGCGGTCTGTAACTGTTTGGTGTTATTGCTACATTTTTTCCTAAAATTGTATTTTTTTTATTTCTTTCTCCTTGGAATTAACTTCATACCAACAGTGGTACCTTAATAGAAACATTTCTCTCCAAGTATTTTCCCCTGAGCTTTCTCTGTAGGCTCTAGCTTGATTCAGCATATACATTTCTATCGAGGGGTTATGACATCTTTTTAGATAGCACTGAATAGTGGTAAACTCGTCTGCCAGCCCATAATATAGTGGATCAAGTAAAGTACCTCCACAAACTATATCTTCTGCACTTCAGGGCCCAGTTGTTCGAAGGCCGATTAGTGCTTAACCCGGGTTTCTTTTTCTTGTCTTCAAAAGCATTTTCTCGGATAATTTCCTCTGTTATTTTTAGAGCTTCCAATCATCAACTTGCAGACAAAAAGAATTAAAACTGAAATGCTTTTTAAGCTTTCAAATCTGAATTCAAATCTCGCACTAACCCTGGGTTATCTTAACCCGGCTTTGAACAACTCGGCCCTGATCTTTATCGAGCGAGTTAGGGTAAACCGTAGCGTCATGAATCTTTTGAGTAATATTTTTTCGCTTAAAAATTAATTCCAACTCTAATTTTCTGAACCTAAAAATATGTTTTTTAATTGTTATGGCTTTATTCCACTTTATTCAATGAGGATACCGTTTAAGTAATTGGGCTACCAAAAAAAGTAAAGAATCATAAGAAACTGGTGACCGCGGCACTCCCGTGAGTGGATAGTTTTGCTTTATACGGTCAAGTCTTCAAGGTTTGCATATAGCTGATTATCATACAGTTTCATGTTTATTAGCCCCTGTAAATAAAAAAGAAAAAACATATATTATAACTTAACAAGCCATATCAACAGCCTGCTGCGTAGACGTCTCTTTGGCCCAGTGAGAAGGAATTGTTTGCGTGAACCGCCAAAAGAAAAAAAAACATAACGCCTGCGTTGAAGGTTATTTTACGAGTCTTCATAGCCAATAACATCACCGCTTAACTGACGGACGACCAATAACATCGCGACGTAATTGACCAATCAGATCAATAACCAGAGTATAATACCATCAACTGACGTGATACAACTCACTTTGACTCTGAAGATGACTACTGCACAGGTTGTCGAAACGTCAGTCACTGTCAACAACAACAGTCCTATTCAGGACTACGTTCACCCGGACGATCAAACTCAACCTACTTTTGTTAATAATCTTATTAGAAGCGAATGCTGTAGGATTGGTTGGACTATTTCTCTTAGCTTTAAGACAAGTACGGAGGCGAATCATTGATTTCGGACAATCATCTTGTTCGCGTAACTGACAACAAAACAATCCAGTTAACAGTTCGATTTCTTCACTTTTATTAGTTTTAAGAAACAGGCATGGCGAGAGGTCGTAATTGACCGCCAACGAAGCATAACGAGAACGTTTTGAAGACAGAATCTATAAGGCTACCCTAGGTTTGCAGCTCCAGACTTGCTAATGAAGGTAAACAAATTTGAGGGAGACTCAAAATTGTCCAGGGCCTTTCTTGTTTAAATCGTACCTTATGTCGGTTTTCCATCTGTTTCAGCTTTACTGTCAGTTCAGAAAAAGAAGGCCTTGCATTAGGGTCTTCCAGCCAGCACAGTTTCATTATTTTGTACCTGTAACAACGCAAAAATTATGCATGGTATGTTGAGCAACAATTCTTTAGGTCCATATCAATAGTTCATTTACGAGTTATCTTAACGGTCTGATGCAAAGAGAGGCTAAGTGCGAAGCCATTCGCTGTTGCTGCTCCTGACCTGTGGAACAGTCTACCAGACAGCATCCGTTCATGTGACTGTTAAGTACTTTTAAATCTGACCTTAAGTCATCTTTTTCTTAGAAAAGCGTATCATGGTTAATACGGCCATTTTTATGTTAACTTTTATATGTTTACTATTTAATTCGTTATTTATTTGTTTGAAAAGTGAAATATTTACTTATTGTTCGGAATGAGAAGAAGAAGAAGAAGAACCTTTATTAATTTATACCGCTCTGGGTAGCCCCTTCAGACGCAAAAAGCTGTCTGTTATATCAATGGGAGCCCTGAGCAACAACGCACAAAAACCACACTAAACATATAAACATCACACTAATACAGGTAATAATATAAATAGAAAACTATTTTCAATTAAAAGATTAAAAGATGTAAAACACGAAATATCATGAAGATAATTCGTTAAAAAGAGTGCAACCATAATAATAGAAGGATCTTTTTGCAATTTCAGTTCTCACAGCAGGCGGATGTAAGAGGTTGCTTTGTCTAGTAGCGCGCGCATGGATTGTATTATTACGTTTAAAATATTTTTGTAAAATACTGGTGACATTGACCTTGCAGGCATTTCTTAAAGAGTTTAAAAACAGATTGACGTCGGCGCTCCTCCAAGGTGGGCCATTTCAGAACGTCCAATGCCTGCTTGCTGCGCACAGTACAAGCCACTATCCTAGCAGCCCGGTTTTGGAGGGCTTCAAGGTCGTGTTTACGACCTTCCCCGCAACAGCCCCACACATTTACACAGTATTCTAAAATTTGCCTAATTAGACTACAATACACTACATTGGCACTCTCTCTAATGAGGCTTCTGCGAAGCCTGCCGAGCATTCCTATGCGTTTTCCCGCCTTCGAAATTAGGTACTTTATTTGCTCGTTCCAGCTAAGGCGGTCATCAAGAACTATACCTAGATAAGTGAAATGAAAAACCCACTTAATTACATTGTTATTTAAAGTAATAGAAAAAGAGTTAACAGCAGATAATCTAGGGGCGGTTCCGAAAAGCATAGCTTCGGTTTTTGTTACATTAACAAACAGACTATTAAAAGAAAGCCAGTGATCAATCTTACAAAGTTCGGCATTCAGCTTGTCTTGAATGACAGAGGCTTGAGAGGATGAACAGTATAAAACAGTGTCATCAGCGTACATCAGAATATTGCAATCGGACACTACTTCAGGTAAATCATTAATGTATAGAATAAACAATAATGGTCCGAGGATAGAGCCCTGAGGCACACCAGTAGAGACGGCTTCCGAAGCAGAAGTCACCCCTTGAAACTCTACAACTTGCGTGCGGTTCGACAGGTAATCCGTAAACTAGCCATGCTCTTTATCCAAAATCCCCAAATTGGAAAGCTTGTCCAGAAGTACCGCATGATCCACAGTGTCGAAAGCCTTGCGAAGGTCAATAAACACAGCACCAGTTAATTGACCTTGGTCCATGTTCCTACGAATATTATCAGAAAAACTAAGAGCAGCGAATTCTGTCGAGTGACACTTCCGAAACCCGCACTGATAAGGGCTCAAGATCTTGTTTTGCTGGAGATATTTGTAGAGTGGGATATGTACAGCCCGTTCTAAAACCTTAGATAGAACAGGTAAAATGGAAATCGGGCGATAATTGTCCATCTCATCAGCCTTTCCCTTTTTGAAGAGTGGAATGACCCGTGCGGATTTCCAATCACTGGGAACTTGGGCAGTACGTAACGAGGTGTTGATAATAAACGCCACAGGCTTAGCTACAATGTCCGCAGAATCTTTTAACAGGCGAGCCGGTATGTGGTCCAAACCCACAGCCTTCCCAGATTTCAGGCTACGTAGTGGAGACATAACAAACTCCTCAGAGACCTCAAGAAAATTAAATGGCGGATACTGACGGGCAGGAGTATCGGAATCAGGCTGTTTATTACCACAAGTTTTCCGTAAAGTGGCCATCAATTTGCTTGCTGCAGATGCGAAAAACTTCTTAAATGCGTTGGCAATGCATTGTTTGTCAGAAGAGACAACGCCGTCCACTTTAATGTTTGGAGAAGTAGCTTTCTTTTCTCCCGGTAGGATTTTCTTAATCGTCTTCCAAAACGATCTGTGATCACCACCACTTTCCTCGATGAGCCGTTTATTGTAAGACGCTTTCGCTGACCTTATTTCTTTTGTCACACGATTGCGAAAATGGCGGTAGTTTGCCCAATGCTCTGAGGCATTGCTTTTGATTGCTTTTTTGTGAAAATAATCACGCTGGCGAATAGTCACCTTTATGCTCTTGTTTAGCCAGGGACAATTGTCAATGCCGCACACGCGGCGCTGCGTCAGCGGTGCATGACGATCAGCAATCGTGACAAATTTCATGCCAGAGATCATCAACAATGGCAGGTCCATCGGGACCAGGAGCAGAATTCCAAGTAACACCTTTTCAGATCTTTAAATGTGGTGTAAAGCGACTAGGGCAGGGCTGGATAGGCGCTATACAAATTTTAATGATTATTATTTAATGATGATGATGATGATTATTATTATTATTATTATTATTATTATTATTATTATTATTGATATGAACTTTTTTCCTTTTCTCATTTAAGTAAAACTCACAACAAAGGTTTTGCACTTAGTCTCGCTTAGAAAGCGAGAGTTTTTTTAACTCGGAAGTGGCCTATAAGAATAAAAGGAGTTCCAGAAAAGTCTATTCGTCGTCTCCGGTTAAAATTTCCAATAACAGTTTGCAGTTAACTAAACTCCAAAATCATCTCTGGTGAAAATCTCGCAGGATCCTTAAGGATCCTATTAAATATTTATGGTATGGAGAGAGGATCTCAGTATAGGAATAAAACGTTCCGAAAGCCATGAAGCAGACACAGAATTACTTACAGTTCATCGTCAACATGTTGTGGTTTAGGCATCCTGTATCCGTCCTGAAGTAAGCTTACAATCTTCCTGCCATCCATTCGTGGATATGGAGAACCCCCTAAAAAGGAGAAAGTGACCGGCTGTGACAATACTTTATAACAAGGCATGAGTTCTCCCAAAATTTGTTGTTGTTTTTGCTGCTGTTTTTACTCAAAATGGAAGGAGCTAACTGTGGCTGTAAGGACAATTTATTTACACACTCGCCTCTTTATCTGCCTCATTTTGGCGCTAGAGGAACTAAAAAAGGCCGTCAATTTAAGTCATGGTGTAAGTTCTTGCTGTGATAAGGTGACAGTATTAAATTATCAGCGAACTTTGGCACTGTAGCGAGAGACAGTTGTCTCCCTGGACGTCAAACATTTCAACCAGAAGTTAATCGGAAAAGGCTTCTCAACTAGTCAATCTTTCACTCAAGGGGTTTAAGGCCTGGGTCAAAGGTGTGTTCGAATGAATGATTGACAATATCTCTCGCTAGGAGACCTAGAACAAAATAACTTTTCCCCAAAAGTAAATGTTGAGGTTTCCTTGAGGCTGAACGTTTAAAAAAATTAAAAATGAAGGAAATTGGCGAATTGGTGGGGAATTTACTTTGTTTGGATAAAGAGGATAAACATTCCTCACTTTCTACGTCTGGAATGAATGTACGCAAAGTTCAAAAGTAAAGTTTTTAATAATTAAAGATTAAATTTGGGCATTTAAAATGATTCTTTCCTGAAGTGCCACGGACGGTCATTCCAAACGTGAAGTGTTAGAAATCTTTAATATGAATAAGAAAAATGTTCTTGCTCGATTTCTTTCCTTAAACTGGCCACCAACTGGTCAATAATCTACGATTTCTCGTAAAATGGTCGCTTGATATATCACGTGACTGACTAACACTATATTTATACTTTAAAATGTTAAAGGCGATGAGTTCTTTATGTGTGCCAAATTTGATTTAGCGCCAACATCTATACCGAAGTTGTAACCAATAAACTATTTTCCACAGATAAACCACTTAACTACTTGAGCAGCGTCCCATCATGCCATAGTTAATTGAGTGCAATGGTTATGAAACCCGTCAGAGTCCTTTGTTATATGTTTTTGTGGACCTGAAAGTGCACAACGTTCAAAAGAATTCCTATCATTTTGGTTGTATTGACCAATAAAAACGTTGCATTAATTTATTCCGTAACAATTTGCCAACAGAAAACAAAGGATTGTGCACTTTCACGGTACTTCCAACATAAACTGCAGCACTGTTGTTCTTATCATTGATGTTTGCCGCTTTTCATAACCAGTCTCCTCTAATAACTATGATCATGCCAAGCAGCCAACTCCGATTTTTGTTCACGACGTTTAGGAGGTCAGCGTTCTTGTTGCTGAAGCTCTCCATTATCACATATGGTACTGCTGGGGTTTTTATCGTTAGCAGAAAGTTGTCCATGACAACATGCACGGAAAACACAAACAGATACAAATAATGTATGCATTCTTGAGCTCTAAACTATGTTATAACGTAATACCTTTCTTCTTTCGGAACATTCTTTATGTTTTTCACAACAAAATAATAAGAAAAAATTCGAAAACCACTGTAAGTTAATAGCTAAAGGACCTTACCAATTGTAAATATCTCGAAAAGCAAGACTCCATAGCTCCACCTATATGAGACCAAAAAGTGACATATCTGCGGTTACATTTTAAACAAATAAAAATAAAAAATTTCTGCTGTTTTTTAATACACATTTTCTCTCTTCTAGTTTAGAGATCGGGGAGGGATAGTATTGGCGTCAATAACGCTGGTTAACCCAGTGACATTAATCGTCTTGCATGCTTCCCTCTTCTCACGTAACGCGTTGAGGAACTGCTGTTCTGCACATATCAAATTATTAATGCATATATAGATAGTTTTCTTACACGTCGCTCTTGGTGGTGTATCGTCCGTAGAGCAGTGCTTCATATGCGGTCCACTTCACTGGTAAACGACCCTACATATCAGCAAAGTAAATGACCATAAGACAAATACCAAATGGACGACAAACATCGAATAGCGAGTTGGCGAAAAGTAGGCGAAAGTGGAAGATAATGAAAAATCAACGTACTGCCTTGCTTCCCTGCATGTTAGCGAAAAAGCTTACGAAAGTCGGTAGAAAAATCTACTCCAAAATATAAGATCAGAAGGCCATCTTAAAATTTTAAAATAATCGTTACTGCAAAAATGAAACTCAGGCTTCGTTTACACGCAACTTTCTTTTATACACTTTCTTCCTGTCTCAGTGTGGAAGGACAAAACCGAAGAAAGTTTCACTTAGCCGTTCTCTAAGACTTTTATCTAGTATAAAATTAGTAATCTTCTTTTATATGCAGGTGAATTAAAAATTTATGCTTGGCAAACGACGTCTTTATATTACCACACTCAGACAACCATAATCACCTTGAATATGTAATCTAATCCCACGTTTTGGTGACCGGCAAAATAGTCTCTTATGCTTTGTTAGACTTGTCAAGTGTTTTATCATCCTTACACACAAGGCCGTAACTTCGTGGGCTACAGTTTTGGGAGCGACTCTTAAAGCATGAAACCAAGAAAGGAGCGACTATAATAAACAAAGCCTGACGTGTTTTCCTCCAGTTAACGGCAAAAGATTGCATGCCAGTCCTATACTCTACGTCATGCAGTTTCCAATACAATACATACCTTAGTTTTCCTTTCATAAACGTTTTCCTGTTGCACATCTCTCGCCATTCCAAAGTCAGTCACTTTACAAGTTTCATTTTCTCCAACCAGAACATTTCGAGCGGCAAGGTCTCGATGAATAATCTGCAATGTGACATTTGATTTCAAACGAGCTGAAAACCTTGCAAGTCACATGAACCCGTCAAGACGTTCAGATCCTTCTGTCCCAGTTTGATACTGTTACCTTTCACTGAATTTTGATGTCATTTTTTTTAATATTTGACACCAGAAGAATAGAAGAGCAAGAGCTCTGTCAGTTTCACGTCTGAATGTCCTAATTCACAGCAGCCCAGCCGCACATACATTTTATGAAATCGCCATTGTGTAGTAGGTCTATCAAAACGCAAAAGCAAAAAGTGGCGGTAATTAAAGTGAGGAGAATTGAGCGTGTTTTTAACTGTACAATTTTGGTTTGTACAATGTAGGCAGTCTGCACCAGACTTATTTGAATACACAACAGTAAAATATTTCAGCTTACAGATCTCGATGAGAGGTAACTCATTCCATCAGCAACTTGCCAAGAAAATTTCATCAACTGATGTGACGTCAGACTTGTCTGTGGTTTGATATCTGGGTCTTTGAAATAAGTGTCATTTAATCCACGGCTCTTTCTCAGGTAACCCAGAAGATCCCCGTACGGAACGTACTCGATCAAGACTAGCAAGGGCTCTGAGTAGAAAACGACGTATTCATTTAGTCATTCACGGGCAAAAAGACTTGACTCAGGACTGAAAAAGGCCCAATTAAGAGGCAGTCTCCCTAAAAGCGGTCCACGCGATTTCGCGACAAAAAATACTTTTCCTTTATTTTTTGTCGGTGAAGAGGCTTTAGTAAGTGTATACTAAAATCGTTATTTTTGTTTTCAAATTCTTATTCTTAGCTCTGCTAAAAGCCAAAAACGAATTGAGTCCGTCTCGACTTCTCAGAGAGTGTTTCGAATACTAAAATTGATGGATTTTGAAAAGCGCGTTGCAAACAAACGAATCCCTGCACAAAAAATCCGTTCCAGGCTAGATAAAAATATCTTTGATCGAAACATGTTCAAGTTACCGTGGTTCAAAGAATACCTATTTAGCAGGTTTAATCGAAACCTTGAAAGTAAGGAAGATTTGAGGGAAAATATTTCAAAAGTTGCGGCCTAAATCTGGTTTAAAAATCATATCAAAGTAAAGTTTTAAGCCTATTTTTTTGGTTTATAGGCTCAGACTTGCGGGTATCTTCTGGGATTGCAACCAACAGTGATTATAATCTGCCATTTTGCGTATTTGCATAATTACAGGCCGTGTCGGATGTCATGATTGTACAGGTTAAAAGTTCCATAAAATTGCCTCTTTTGACACTTGAATTCGTCTCCGGCCTCTAAAAGAAATTAAGTAATTAAGCTTCTTTAAGTACTTTTGAATCGAAAGAGATATACTAAGAGGGATGGTCATGCATGTTACTGATTACCATGATCAACTGGCGGCGCCGTCGTCTTGTGACTAGGGAACTTAAGATGGAGACGTTTTCGGGGCGACGGCGACCGGACTGGCAGAGAAAGCCTGGAACTAAGGCAGCCGTCGCTCCCCGTCAAAAATAAAACATTAAGATCTCAGTGAACTCAGAAGGACGGCGCCTTTAATTAAAAGAATACCGAAGAGGAAACTATGGCTTCACATAAAGAATTAAGAGAATAAATATTTGCTATGCAGACAACATGTATCGGATGAAGAGTTTCACGTTTTGTGGGAAAATTATGAGTCCAAAAATCGCGATTTTCCTCGGGACAGTTTACGCTAAAAAACATGCGGGATGCAGCCGAGTTCAAGGCAGAATTTCGTGTTGAAAAAAAATGATCTTCACAGGCTTGTCGAAGCCTTGCAAATTACAGGAACATTAAAATGCTACCAAGGAACCGTATTCTTAGTTTGGTATTGAAATAATTTCCGGGAAATACTTGCATGCAACAACAACAACAACAACGGCAACAACTTTATTTCAAGAACGAGAAGTCCGAAGACTACAGCAAAGCTGATTTAAAACAACGTGTATTGTTTTTTATAACAATATTTCGGTGGGAGAGTTGAAAAAACTGACCCCCACTCCGCGGACTACCCACTGACCCCACTCCGCGGACTACTCTACGGACTACTCCGCGGACTACTCTACGGACTAGTCCGCGGACTACCATGCGGACTACCCTAACTAATCAACCAAATTTACTTTCACGGAGAAAAGAGTTAGAGGAAGCGTACCTGCCTACAAGGGGAGAGAGTAAGGTGAGGAAGCAAGCTACACCGGAAATTAAAAAAAATTGAGATTGCAAAACAAGATATTTATTGTACTTTTAACTTCTCATAGGGGGGTAGAAGGCCAGGTTGACGATAGTTCGGATGACAGTGACAGTACTGATACTTCTATTGGCAGGATACCAATGGATGAGGTAGGTTGCCTTAGTTTGCATTTCTTGCCTTGTTTCCATGCTGTGAACCAAAGCGCTTGGTTACCAAGGGTTTTGTTTTCAAGTTATGCACTTATCGGTTTTAAGCCTGATGGGGAAGGGAGTGGACATTTTTGGGTCATTTGAACTGTCAAGTCATCCCCGCCCCCCTTGGGAATTTTACTGCTAGTTTGGGCCCCACACTGGGGATGTTTGATTTATTTTTCTGAGGAGGACTGAGACTGAATCTTTTGTCGCTCGTCGTAGGGGCGGCTCTGTGAACTTAAGAACTCCTTTTCAATGGAGAAAGCAAACACTTCACTTTTGTTACCTCAATTTGTGGGTTTTGTGGAGCTATTTATGTTATTCTATCTTGAGCAGTAACATTATCCTACAATAGTGTAAGTTAATAATCTGAAAGGAAGCTATCCCAAGGTGGGGGAACACGGGTTTTTGCTTCGTTCCTGAGCGATGATCCCTCTTAAATTAAACTTAAATTAAATTAAATTAATTAAATAAATTTAGGGGAATGTTGTGAAATATGAATTTTGTTTGTAAATATTTTTTTACAGGCCAATGACACTGATGAAGATGAGGAGACAGAGAACATAATAGACGTTTCAAAATCTCCTGCCAAACCTCTTAAGAAGTTAAAACTCTACAATGCAAACATCAAATGCAAAATCGTCGATTTTGAATCTCTGGAAAACCCCTACATCATCCCTTTCCTCTTCAACTGCCAAAGCGATAATGAGGACAGACATGATCAGTACTTCTGTTCCTACACGGATTCAACAAAACGCGACATTTGTCTTAGATATTAGTGCCTTAGGAAATAGAGCAGATTTATATGCTGATGAGAATGGGGTTTGGAAGATGACTGGTTGCAGGCCAAAATATTACACCATTGATAGAGATGAGAACGGAAGAGTAGTTGAGATGGAGAGAGTGCGTAATGAAGGCAATGCTGATGTTGTTGTGCGAAGAAGATCGTACACATGTTCCTCATACCCGTTGTACCATAGAACCATTGTGTCTATTGAATTTTCAAAGGACATAAACAAGTGGTTCCCACTTGTACTTCTCCACTACCACTACGACGGCAAGCCTACAAAGTTCAAAGTTGAAAAGCATGGCAACCGTACATCTTCAAACATGCCATATCTACGAACTAAAACGAGCACAAAGCGGTCGATTGCAGAAAAGGCACAGCAGTATGGGCCAAAGAGAGCTTTATTTCAAGTAAGAAAGGAGGCTGGTGGTGTCTGTGGTGTGGATAGTACGGGCACACTGCCCCGTAATGAGAATCAAGTCAAGTACATTAAGAAGAAACAGCAAGAGCCAGGACCAGCTAACAAGGACCCACTTGCATCTGTAATGGAACTACAGAAAACCACATTTCGTGGTTTTATACGTGAAATCGTTTGTAACGACCTACCAACTGTAATGCTGTTTACTAATCGTCAGCTAAACAATATAGTCAAGTTTTGCTGCCACAAAAGATCCAATCAAGTCTCTGAGCTTGGTGTTGACCTCACGTTTCAACTTGGCCCCTTCTACTTGCTTGTGACAAGTTACAGAAACACTGTTCTCCAAGTGAAAGGAACAAATCGTCACCCTTCTTGTATTGTCCCAGTCATGATTTGCATGACCAAAGAGGAATCAACCTATCTCTCCTTCATCCACTGTCTCAATCGTGAGATTCCAGGCTTATCTCAACACCTCCATGCCACTGGAACGGATGACGAGTGTGCTTTGAAAAATGCCCTTGCTGCCGGCTTTCAGCATGCTGCTCCTTTGCTGTGTTACATCCATAGTGAAAGAAATGTCAAGGCCAAGGGAAGAAAACTGGGCCTGTCTTCAGCATTAGTTGAACGCATATCCCAAGATCTCTACCGACAAGGGAGTGGTCTTATTTGGTCCAGCTCCAGGGAGCAGTTTGATGCACGGGCAGCAGTTCTTATGAAGGAATGGGAGACTTTGGAGAGGTCAGAGAAGGGTGGTCCACCAATGTTCGCAGAGTACTTTAGAGCACACAAGCTGGAAGATATGCAGACAAGGATGTCAAAGTACGTGATGAAAAACCTTGGCTTAGGAGACAAGCCTTACCAGCAAAACATTCCAGAGTCAATTAATGACATGTTAAAAGATTGGGCAAATTTCGTCCCTCAAGATATGGAGAAATTCATTGTCACTTTATACGATTTCGTAGAATCCTTTGATCAGGAAGAAGAGCTTGCCTGGTTTCAGTCATCTGATAAATGGGAAATTTGCCCACAGTTTCAGCAGCATTTATCAGGAAAAAGCCATGGAGAAATGACACCTGAAGAAAGGAAGGCTTTCATGCGGAAAGTTGAAAAGGTGTGTCCAGACCCAGCGGCTTACAAGCGGTGTCGCTCATTCAAGTTCAAAACTGCTACAGCCACTTCAGCTGAGAGCTCATCAAATCAGATGTCTTGCGACATCAGTGACCTTGCTCAACTTGATGTCGAGTTCTCCAGAGAGGAACAGGCGAGTCTACTTGAGAAGGCGAAGAGTATCCTGTACAATGCCAAATTTCGGGAGAGTTTCCAGGAAGGAGTATTCTTTGTATACAGTGAGGGACCTCTGCCACATCGCGTACAATGCTTGAAGAGTGGCAAATGTTCTTGTGGTTGCAATTTCTTCAGTAGAAACAACCTGTGCTTTCATTCCCTGGCTGTTGCCATTCATCGTGGTTGTGTCCAAAAGGTAGTCCAGGCATACAAAGGCCGAAGCTTAAACAAGATAACCACCGCAACCGCCCCGAAAAATGTGGGAGCAAAGGCTCCATCCCGGAAGCGTCCGCTGGATGATGTCGTTATGGAATCAAGTACACAGGTAGAAGACACAGCACCTGGATCTCATTTACAAGCGGAGGTTTTGAATCCAACAACCCTTCTTATCAGGAAATCAGCCAGGCCTGTTGACCCGCCATCTAGTACACCACTAGTGCTGAAAGAGATAACAGGAAACATCAGAAAGTGTGCTGGCTGTCTTAAATCAATCACGTCTGCTGTTGTTGGCTACCAGGATGCAGATGATCAACGGTGTTGTTTTGCCAGATTCGAAGCCTATCACTTTTGGAACAAAGCAACAAACCGGTGGCAATTGACGACTTCAACCAGACACTACCACCTGAATCCCGTTTGTACTAAGATGTCAGGAAAGGAGTCGAGCGTGAATATCAAAGCCAGTCTTGTTGTGTCTGAAGGATTACAACAACTGGTTAGGGCTAGGTTTGATTACGATTTAAGCTCATAGCCAGAAATTTCAAATCCCGTACCAGTACATGTTCATTTAACTGTCAGCGACAGCTAAGGGAAATCGCTGCCCACATTGTAGAGATCTTTACGGGAAGATTTGTAAACAGACAACTAGCTAAATAATGATTTACTCTACAGCAAACTATATCGTCTAATTTTCAAAATATTAGACTGAAACATCCTCCTGTGAGGTTTTTTTGAAAATATGTTTACGATAATCTCAGCTGACATCTTAGTTTGGAATTCGCTGTTAAAAATGACACGATCATAAATACTTTGCTGATGAACTCATGTGTAGTCTAATACTCACGACAGGTGTGCTTGCATACTGTCGATTCGCTGATTCCCGCCAAGGAAATATATCGACACGATGACGAATTGTCCTACGCAAATACAGTCTGAAATACACAAACATGGCGACTGTTTCTCGTGTACTCGCGTCGCGCAATGCGTTTTGGGATGTCACAGGACCCCCAATTTTCAGAACGAAATCTCAAAAATGCGGCAGGGGTATTTTGCCGACGCCAAACGCCAAATGCAGAATGTAGTATTTGACCGTATTTGGGGTTAAAAACCTATTTACATGTATAAGGTTAGCCTATTTAGTACTCTGGTTAGCTTTTTTAACACTCTGGTTAGCCCAAAGACGGTCAACTTTGTGTACATTTGGCGTTTGGTGTTTGGCAAAATAACCCTGCCGTCAAAAATGTCAACGTTCAATTGAAAACTAGGGCTGGACAAGGAGTGTAATGTGATTTTGAGTCGGAATTTCTGGCTATGTAGTTTTCGTGGTGTTTCTGAAACTGATGAGGTTTTCAATGTATAGTTCCAGTTGTTGTAGTTGACTGTTCCTGTTTACCACATTCGGTTACACGAAATGTGCAACGTTGAGTCTAAAATAATGTAGCTTCTCCTTGTGCACATGAAAATGTGAAATGTAAGCATTAAACCAAATTAAACATAATTAGAACAGTTTCAAATGAGTGTCGTAAAGCCAAAACTAAAGTTACCACTCTGGCTAATCAACAGATGCAGAGAGCACAATGAGCCAATCAAAACTGAGAAGGAAAATAAATATATGTAAATGTTGTCAAACGTGAAAAACACGAGAGCAAGTCACGATTGGAAATGATGTTTTTTTTTTCTGCGGATTGGTTACGAAAGTACCAGGAACTTTTCCTAACCAATCACAAAAAAGTAGTGCAAAACTAAAGTTAACGCAAATTAATGACACTCAATTGAAAACCGTGCTATTTATAATTGTTGCTATTATTTCAAAACATCGCATCACAAAAATGTAATGTGACAAACGAGTAAGTGTTAGCATGTATATGTTGTGGTTCAATTTTATCCTTGGTTCAATTTTTATTTTCCATTGTTCTTTTCTATGTTAATATATGATAATGAATTTTAAACAAAGGAAATTGAAAATTGAACCAAAGATAAAATTGAACTACAACGTATACATAGAAGGCAGTTCAAGATTCAAGGTTGAAGCCATGAGTTAAGCAACATCTTGTGACTTGTCCCATAAGTTTCATTTTCCATTAAATAGTTTTAGTCATAAATGCCTTTAAAATTTAAAAAAAAAAAAAGAGTGTTGAAGGTTGATCCGTGGGTCTGCTTGCATACTTCTCGCCAGCATAATCAATGAAAGACATCATTGACGTCATGCCAGCCACTGATATGAAATATGAAATATAGATCAGCCAATCGATGACCACTATTGGCGCTGGTAACAGTTTTTGTTATATTCAGCTTAAAAATGTTTTTAAGAACTTACTTATAGCCGTGCTTGGAAGTCACCATATTTTTGGATTCACCTGGCCCAGAAGGCCCTTGGAGACGTATTCTCCTACGTAGGGCACGCAGTCGTTATTTGGATCGTCACGCGAGGTTTGGAGAGACGCGTTGCGTGACGATCCAAGAACGGAAGCTGCAATGGACGTAGCAATGAAGAAGAAGGGCTGGGTCGAGTAAAATGGCGAAAATCAAGATGGCGGCTGTTTATCAAGTGTGATATTGTAGGCAGGTACGCTTCTTCGAACTCTTTTCTCCGTGAAAGTAAATTTGGTTGATTAGTTAGGGTAGTCCGCATGGTAGTCCGCGGACTAGTCCTTAGAGTAGTCCGCGGAGTAGTCCGTAGAGTAGTCCGCGGAGTGGGGTCAGTGGGTAGTCCGCGGAGTGGGGGTCAGTTTTTTCAACTCTCCCTATTTCGGCTGGCCATACCAGCCTTCTTCAGGTTTACAGATGTTACTGAACTTATGTAGCAATCACAATATTATATATATGGTATGGCCAGCCGCAATATTGTTATAAAAAACAATACACGTTGTTTTAAATCAGCTTCGCTGTAGTCTTTGGGCTTCTCGTTCTCGTTCTTTATATTTTGGCTGATTTGATCTCTTCTCTAGAGATCCAACGTTTACAACTAGCCGGATCTTCGTCCAAGGTTTTTGCAGTTAATTTAACTTTATTTCAGTATTCCCACGCCGAGTTAGTACATGGTATTACCTACTATTCTATATAATTTTCAATGCGTTTCATTTATACGATATTCTAACGAAAAGAGCGAACTAAAAACACACAATTGAAATATCGGAGTTCATATTTTTTGTCTGGATTCTTTTATTTGGCTCGTGGGAAAATGTTGTCCCATGTCAAGCTCAATTACGGTTGGCTGTTTGCCAAGTTGGATCTTGACCCTGTGACATGAAAACATAGAAACATTCAAAGATGTAAGTTTAGATAACAGAGCTTGGAAATCGAGCTTGAG